GGACTGGAGCATCTCTCCTATGAAGGAAGGCTGAGGGAGCTGGGCCTGTTCAGCCTGGAGAAGAGAAGACTGAGAGGTGATCTGATCAGTGTCTACAAGTTTCTGAAGGAAGGGTGTTAAGAGGATGGGGCCAGACTCTTCTCCGTGGTGCCCAGTAGTGACAGGACAAGAGGCAACGGGCACAAACTGAACCACAGGAAGTTCCATCTGAACCTGAGGAAAAACTTCTTCACTGTGAGGGTGACAGAGCACTGGAACAGGGTGCCCAGAGAGGTAGTGGAGTCTCCTTTTCTGGAGATATTCAAAACCTGCCTGGATGTGATCCTGGGCAATATGCTCTAGTGGACCCTGCTTGAACAGGGAGCTTGGACTAGATGATCTCCAGAGGTCCCTTCCAACCTAAACGATTCTGTGATTCTGTGAAATCCTTGACTCTAAGCTGAAGTACCTGTTCCATACTATTAGCTTTACTTGTATGGGATAATATTTTGGGAAGAATGAAATGTTTTTCTGACTAATCGAGATAGGTGCCACCATTGTCTTTCTACTAGTCCTCTGTTTTATTTAGAAGCTGCTGTAGCTTTTACTAAGGTCCTGGAATGGCAGCTGTTCAGTGTTTACCTTAAAATAATGAACACAAGTGCAGAAAAAAAAAAAAGGGGTTCTGTGTCTTTGGACATAAGACTGCATCGTTTTTTGTTCGTCTTTCTTTTCATTTGTAATAATGATTTTTTAACAGCTCAGTAAATGCAAATTCCTATGTATTGGTATTGCTAGCTACTGCTTAACGACCGTATTGCAGGGGATTTGAGGATCTTCAGTATTGCCAGCTACAACTATTCAAAGAAACGGAGCCAAGCCCTAAATCCCAAAAGCCTGACTTGAAAATGAAATTAAAAAAACTATGAATTTGTAGATCACAATTGTTCCTGTCTTATTTGGGGCTTGGGTGCTGTTTTTTCAGGCTTTACTGAGTAATGTTTTTAAGTGAGCCACAAATGTAAAGCAAGTGAAAAATAAATCTGAAACTTTCATGAAAACCTGAGGCTTAGAGTGGAGTTCTAGGAAGAGCGCTGAATGTCAAGAGAAGCTGAGCTCCCCGAAACAAAATTTTGATTTCCTGTTCCTATTTTTACTAGGGGTAGATTACAATACAAATGTATACCATTTTTAAAAGACTGTGCATTTGAAATATCCATATTTGAAATATACTGCACCAATCAAGTGCAGTATATTAATTTTGGGGGTATTTTGGAGATAATGATTTATTAATTACTTGGAATGCACTTTAAATTACATGACTCATGTCATGTTGTACTATTATGCATAATTTGTTTCCAAAACAACTTCTTTCTTGAAATGATAGTACGCATGTTGGACTGATCTTTTGCAGGGGGACAACCACAATTAAACTGGCTTGCAAATTTTGACTGGAAAAGAAAGGGAGCATCTGAATTCTGTAAATGAATACCCATTTGCCTAAATCCCAGCTATGTTACACTGATTCTGCCATTTCTTCTTCTGGGTTGAAAGAGAAAGATCTACTTTAAAAGATAAGCAGACTGACTTTCAGACTACAGGCTATGAATTATTTAAAAATAAAAATGGCAGAAGAGAAGATTGAAATCTTGGTGCAATCAGAGGGAAGGGAAAATGCAGAACAAACATCAGAAACATATGGATGCCAGTTATGCTAAATGTTTTCTAGTGATATAATATCACTGCCATTTTAATAACAGAAAACATCTGAGAGTTAGTAGATGCGTAAGATGTCATATGGTTATAGCCTAACCTAGGAGCTACTGACAGCTGCTGAGGGGGGCTTCATGCAAATCATTTTTTAAAACTCTGAATCTTTTCTGATTGGTATTCATGTTATATCCATTTTGACAGACACCATTTGAGGAAATTCATTAAGTTGGTGTGTTCTAGCAGGGCAGACATCACAGCCCTGATGTGAAAGTGATTTTCAGACCTCTTCCCCAGTACACTGGTTGACGTAATGGGGTTAGGCTTGCTCTCCCAAGCCCAGAATCAGCAGGATATTACGTCACCTGGAGCCCTACCTTCACCCCACAAACCCAGCCCCAGCAAGACTGTTCTAGGCAGGGCATCTTGGCAAAAATGTAGCCTCTGCCTTGGGCTGAAGTATGGAAACTTGAATCTACAGTGTCTTTAGTGCTGTCTTTCACCTCCCTGCCATCTTGCATTTGCATTGCATTACCACCGGGAATTAACCATTTTCAGAGGAGCTATCTTTCTTAAACTATTTGGATACTGAGCTTCAATAACTGCACTGTGAATCTCAATTCTTAGGTAAACTCAGCCTTATGTAAAACTGTGATTCTGCTTCCCACTCCATGATGACCTTTCTCTAACTAATATCTCTACCGTTTGGAACATAGGTTTCATCTCTTCCTTAGTTTTAATTGCCAACTGGTTCTGCCAAGAAAAGAGCCAACCTGAATCCTTGAGATGTGACAACGAGCAAAACCATTTTTAGAAGCTGAGAGTTTTTTGCTGCTAAAAGCAATGTTTTCGTGCTTATCTATGTTTGAGCTTCTTTGGACTTTAAGAAAAAGTGGTAAATTTGCTTTAAAGCTAATTATAATGATGTGGACATAACTTTTTTATTGTTACTGTAAACAATGGTTTAAAGATGCATGATGAGGCAACAGGAATCTGTCAAGGGAATACTTAATGGACCAAAATATATAAAGGAAATTTCTAGAAAGAAACTGAGATGGAGCAAAGGGCAAATATTCTTAAGGTCAATGCCAAGAAGTGAATAAAGAACTACAAGCCAATTAAGGCATTTAAGAAAAAAAGTTGAATATGAGAAGCTAGGACAGTCATAGATCAAACTAGCTTCACCCTCCTAAATTAGTTCTTATCTGAAAAGTGTAGATTCTGTTAAAGCAGCCAGGAGACCGGCTGTCCAAAAGTTGTCCAAAATGAAAAACATAAGGACATGTCCCAAAACTGTTAGTCATGTTGTAAGTGTTAGATTTTTGAGGGATTTAGTAATGGAAAATTTGGGCTAAGTAATGCAACCTGTCTAGAGGGAGTCACATACAGGAGGAATATGTTAAGCCTAGTTCAAATGCAATTTAAATATCACATGCAGCAGGATGTTAGGGCAGGAAAAATGGAGGAAAAACTTACATTTTATAGAGAATTGGAAGTAAAATGATGCACTTAAACACAAAGAAGACATGAAATTAAAAAAAAAAAATAAAGCTGTACTCCCACAGCCAAACACATCTCACACTGTGAAGAACAAGGGCCAGAACATACCTGAAGTATACAGACACCTTCATTTCAATGATGATATCCATATCTACCTATCAAAAATAAATGCGGGATAAGTTATGAAGTGGTGGGAAGAGAACTGGTCATGAGCATTCGCGGACCTCATATTATCTAGTCCCTTTCATTATGAGCACCACTGAATAAATTCTAAGTCATAGAAGTCCTCGATCCCTGTCATATCTGTACAGAGATCTTGGTACACCATTATCAGTGCAGTAGCATGTCAGCGCAATTGATTGCATGGCCCAAATCAGAATGTACTTCTGGAAGCCTTCCCAGGAGTTTATAGTCGTGGATTCTGACTCTTCTAATTTAGGACTATAACATTATATTGTGCATTAGAGGCTAAAGGCACAGAGCAAAGAGAAGGTTTAATTACAGTTCCTGTGTGGAACACTCATAAATATTACGGCAAGGATACAGACGTCAAGATAAGAAAGCAAAAATGAAAAAAATGATTAGAAAATCACATCAGAAATGACATCCTAAGGCAGAGAATATTGATGAATAATAATAATAATAATAATATCTGACCTCAGATAGTGCTGATGGTTCCAGCAAGAGCTGCAGAGATTGTTTATCATGACATTAGTTACTTCTCTGTGGCTTATTAGGAGAGTTTTAATTCAGTCAGCTCTCCAGTACTAAACTCTGGCTCAAGTGGTGTGATCTGAGGACAAAGATACAGTAAAAGCTATTCCAGAAGCATGTATTCTAGCAGCTTTGAGACAAAAGGAGGTAGAGAAGAGAGGCAGTAAAATGCATTGTCATCTCTTGGCACAAATATTACATTTATTTTACTTTCTCTCATGGAACAATCCATTTGATTTTTTTTTCTCCATTGGAAGAATAAACATACCCAGTTCTCTGCGGAAAAAGTATTGTAAATGGAACTGTTACTGAAATTGGATATTAAAATCATAGTTCTAGAAAGTGAAAGACTTTGTTGCGTTCATTAAAGTTGCTCGAAGGAATTCCAGCAACTCCTTAAATTTAAAGAAATAAGACTAGAAAGACCATTCTTCATCTTTCTCCAGCTAGCACATGACTCCTTTCAATTCCAAAATAAGTTTCAAACACACAGAATGTTCTCCATGCCTTTAGAACAGTCTCTTCTTTTCATTATTATACTAGCTATACTGCTGCTGTAGTAGTGGTAAGCATATTACACATGCAGAAAGCGTAATAGTTCACTGTAGAATAATATAGGTGCCATCATCCCATTGTAGTATGAATCTGTGCATGACAGTTCATAAGGAAAGTTTCCAATGTATGATGAGAAGGTGGAAACAGAAAGCAAGGAGAAGGTGCTGCAATAACTATTCCAAGGTTGGATTCTTTGAATGAACATAAAAAGCATTAGTATAAATCTAAATCTACAATGGAGTTAGCCACCTACATATACTTTTGCAGAGGTGATCCATGGACAATTTCCACGCTCTCTTTGGAAGCAGCACCTTAATGCACACTGAAGTCTCTACCGGAGTGTACATCAGCGACCACACTGCTGCAATCTTTATCAAGGGGATGCGCTAGGTGACTCACATTGGTTTCAGCTGGCTATAAAATCTTAGTGGTTGTAGATAATTATAGATCGTTATTTCTCATTCACTGACACGCAGAAGTTGTCTCAAACACATCCTGTAATTGCCTCACATATTGGGGTGCTCTCTGCTTCCCAAAGTCCTCAGCCACAGAGCACCACAGCCACTCTGAATTCACTTTGCAGTCATGTTGCCAGTGATTCAGATGAGAATGGCCTTCACGGTCACTCATTCCCATTCCACAGCAGGAGAACCTGGATAAAATTTGTTAAGCAAGCCTTCACGCCCTATGAGGGTAGACTGGGCAATGACTGTGTTTGAGGGCAGTCTACCCTTTGATGACTGGCAACTTTGGACAAATGAGATGATTAATTCCAACTCGTGGGACAACAATCTTCTCAAGGCCTAGGACAACCAAAAGCTGGTTTTCAGGATGACAGTGAATTTCAGGATGAGAATAGTCACAGTTGCCAGTTGTATGGCATACTCCTCTAGAGCTCCTGATCTAAGAAGGTAGTCATCAGCCCTTCAAGCATAGTCATTTCTGGCCACTAGTTTGGGCTGGGAAAATCTTTTCTTAAGATGATAGAGGTGTACGAAGACTTCCGGTACATCATCCATGACTGAACGGTTTCAGAGGAATCCCTGTTCTCCTCCACTGCCTGGCATGATGCAGCTTCCCCAACTTTTTGGAGCCACGAATTGCGTTCATATCCCAACACCAGCTAACCACCATCCTAGGAGACCTAGTTCTACAATAGCAGAAAAGGATATAAATCTTGCATCCTGTAGACCATTGTCAATCATAGACGCTGCATAACTAGTTACAAAGGAAGGTATAGCATATGTGTGTTTGCAACCTGGAGTTCTTATGTGGGAGTAGAAAGGTATTAGCTTTGAAATTGAAAAACAGGCAGATTCAATGAATATTCCTGACAGAGTAAAACAGCTGCCTGTTTTGCCTTCTAAAGCTTTGCGAGGCTGCTAAAAATACTTTTACCCTGACTTGCCGCAGCAGAACAGGACCCTGTAACTCCCCTGTCCAGCGCAGCAATAGGTAGTGGATCTGGATCCTCTTCCGTTGCAGAAGAGCAGCCTGCGATGTCATTTTTACACATGTAACACAAAGGAAGACTGCAGCAGATCTAATGCTAACTCCTGAGTGCCAATAGCAAGAAATATTATTCACCCCACAGCACATTTATGTTCTCAGTGCACATGATACAATTTCAAAGCTAATGCATGGCTAAAAAAGCAGAGAGGACCTGGGCCTAGAGCCTGCTTTGTGCCCAGGCACACAAATCAGCTTCCTAGATGGCTAGGAAAAATTATATTCCCTGATATATATGCACATACTAAACGGTGTGCGTGGGCTGCAGTGAGCCAGAGTCACATTGTCCAGCTTGTGATGGGTTTTGTTGCCAGACAGAAGTGTCAGGCTGCCAAGCTGGCTCCTGCTATCTATTCTTTCCTAAAGAGGATCTAGAATCTACATGTGTGATTATCCTATAGTTTCCCTTTCTGCTCTTGGGGAGGTTAGGAAAAGGACAAATTAGACTTTTCCAGAGCTTTCTGCAGCTCCTGCAGTGCTGTCTCCTCCTGACTCCGTTAACGCTAGCAGCCTGAAGCAGTTGCATTTGTCTGAGAAGCCTGATCCTCTTCTCCTGTCAGCAGCATGAATGTCCACATCCATATGATCTCTGACATATTAGTCCCTTTAGCAGCTGATGTCACTGCCTTAATGAGCAGTCTTTCCAGGGCCTGGTAGGAGGACAGTGACAGCAGCAAGGTACAGGCACAGTATGACAGCAGGTTCCTTCCCTTGAGTCCTCAACTCCCTCAGCAGCTGTGGGCTTTCAGGCCTGGCTTGGCACTGCGGCAAGCTGGTTTGGAGCCCTTGCCCTGAATGGGGATGGTTATGGGCCCTCAGAAGTTGGGTTATGGCCTCACTGACATGGATTTCATGAAGCAGGTGTGGAAAGCTACCCCAATTTTGGCTGGTTCTGATCATGGATGGGCACGCACATGCGCAGCCTTTAGGTGCTTCAGTTTCAAACCATATTGGCCCTTGCCAGCTCTATAACCGTGACTAGGAGACATGGACATGAGTCAGCAGTGTCCTGGCAGCAAAAACAAACTGCAAAGAATGAACTACATGTTTGGCTGTATTAGCAAGAGAAAGGTCATCAGGTCAAGGGAAGCCATCCTTCCTCTCTATTCAGTATTTGTAGGACCACATCTGGAGTGCTGTGTCCAGCTTTGGACTCTGCAGTACAATAAAGACTTTGACATCCCAGAATGAATCCCGTGGAGGGTCAGCTAGATGATCAGGGCCTGGAGAGCACCTGGAGTATGAGGAGAAGCTGATGAAGCTGAGTTTGTTCAGCCTGGAGAAGAAAAGACTATGTCAAGGCCCCATCCCCTTCTAGTTTAGCTGTTGGTGTTCAAGCTTTCTAGTAAGAGCTGTTGTGAAGAAAGAGGCTTCAGCAAAGGCTCCCTCCCCCTTTGCCTGAGCACTGCTTTCAAGCTGAGGACCTTGCCCTTGTTCCCTTCCTGAGCTATACTGCATTTACATCTGCTCCAATCTCTTAGCTCCCTGATTCTAATCCTGATTCCTGACCCAATGACTTGACTTTCTGGTTTGACCGCGGACCTGTCTTATCATTAAGGACTAACTGGCTGACTCCTGGATTACAGCAGACCCTATTCACCAGACTGCTGCTGGACCTGATCCTGACTCTGACTTGCTGAATCAGTTTCCTAGTTCCTTGAAAATGATGTCACTGCCTCTACCTGCCTTGCTGTGACCGGCTAGCTCCTGGCTTGTCTTCTCTTACGGAGCAGCCTGCCCTTGCTTCTCCCTAAGAGGCTAAGGGGAGATCTTACTGCTGCCTTCTTATCACTATCAAAAGGGAGGATATAGAGAAGATGGAGTCAGATTCTTCTCAAGGGTCCATGGTGATAAGATGAGAGGTAACAGACACAATTTGGAACACAGGAAATTCCAATTAGATACAAGGAAAACCCTTTTTCACCACAAGGACTGTCAAATATTCTACCAGGTTACCCAGAGAGGTTTTGGAATCTTCATCCTTCAAGATACTCAGAACAAGACCCACAGCAACCTGCTCTATTCAGATGTGCTTTTGGCCAGTGGTTCGACCAAATAACCCGTTATTCTATAATTTGATCACTAAATGTTGTTAGCAGCAAATTTTCACGACTATGACATTCAGCAGATGGATACATCAAGTCATGGTTCTCAGTTAGCTCTCTCCAAACATCACCAAGAATAGTAATGGAACCCCAAATGGATGCTCTGTTGCCCTACAAATACTCCTTTTTGTAGTATGGGAGTGAGGGGTAGGACCCTTGCATGAGGCACCTAAGTTGCTGGGATCCTTTTGGAGGACTACGAGTTGGCCAGATGTGGTACGACAACACCCATACTGAAGAGAGGCAAAACACACCAGAAGTGCCAACTACTTTCTGTACTCATGCCAGGAGATGCCTCTTGTAGGATAGACCCCCTCCAGTGTGCTCACCAATACAGAGGCAGTACAGAAAATTAGTGCACTAAGAGTCAGCTGCAAGACTGGGAATGGAAAAACATGACAATATGGAAACCTTCACAATTTTCTATCTATTCAAGTCACTGTTCAAGCACTGAAATGTTTGATCAGAACTTTACTCATGCTGTGATCAGCACTACAGAGTCAGTGCTGTTTTTCAGGGCTGTTCTTCTGACAAGAGCATGAGGTTGTCCAACGCCAGACGAGGGTGAATCTATTGCCACTGTGACTTCTGTAATCTATTTCAGCTCAGCCTTCAGAGTGGAGTGTGTCACAGTAAAGGAGACATTAGCTTGTAATTAAACTGGCAATTAAACTGTAAATAACTTCAGCAAATAACCTTTTTTACTCAGAGAAAACTGTCAGGATTTTTTAGGAGAAGAAACTGCAAGAAAAATCAAACAAGTTCTACTTGAATTAGATTACAAAACAAAACAAATTAATATAAATCTTTTTGAAAAAGTCAAATGTGGACGTTTTTATGAACCCCGTAACACAAAAATGGCATGACCAGTTTCCTGAAGAAATCAATTTGGTCTGAGATGAAGCTTAAC